ATTTATGATCGGTGGGGCCCAATTGTGTTATTGAACCGTGGACTACTTCGCTCTCGCATGACTCGCTACTGCGCTGCAATCGCATGGAAAGGATCACCGTTAGACTGTGTCTTTGGCTTTATTGATGGGACCAAAGTTCAGTCGTCACGTATTGCTGCAACGGGAGATGGTCGAAACCTGCAAAAAATCATTTACAGCGGACACAAGCGATTTCTTTGCTTGAATTTTCAAGCTATGTCGAGTCCTGATGGCCTCTGCGTGCACTTCTGGGGGCCCTGTGAGGGGCGACGTCATGATTCTGCTATGCTTGCTATGAGCGGTTTGTTGCCTGAACTTGAACAACATCCAGACATTTTTGCATCGAAATTCATACATGTTGATCCTGCGTATGGTGTTTCAAAATTTGTCATGAGTAGCTACCGGGGAATCAACTTGTCCAAAGAAAAGCAACTCTTCAACAAATCTATGAGCAGAGTGCTTCAATCGGTGAAATGGAACTTCAAAGTCATAAAAACACTATGGCCCCACATTAAATACAAAAATTTGGCCAAGCTGATGCTATCACCAGTTGCGAAATTCGTTTGTGTGGCTATGTTTTTGACGAATTGTCATTGTGGTTGTCATTTCGGGGGAAATCATATCAGCCATTATTCGATGAAGCCCTTCCAACACTTGAGGAATATCTCGATACAGTAGAAGTTGTGGATATATAACCAAGAATCAATTAAAGTTTATTCACCAATGTAGTCACAATGGCAGTTATTGAAGCCTGCAACATTTGGATTTATTGTAGTTGGGATTCACGCTCCTTCGCTTGGCCTTCTAGTTCCTTGGTTTGCGCCTCGCGATCTTTTTGGCATTCTTCAATCTCCTTCTCAAACATTTACTTTCTTAACTCGAGTTGACCCTTGTTGGCCTCGTTCATAAGCGACAACACCTTGAGCATTTTGCCACCGCTTGTTTCTTCGTCACCTTCTCTTGTTTTTCGTTTCCCTAAGGACGTCATTGCTTCCTCTCGTACAATTACCACCGACTCTTCAGCCCGTTCAGCTGCCTCTATCTCCATGGCCGCCCGGCGTGCCTCCTCGTGCTTGGCATCGTCAACTTGAGCGCACAGGTCATCCAGGAGAACAGTCTTGTCGCTCTCTTCCTCGTCAACGCCCGACGCTGGCTGCAATGCAGCATTACGGTCTCTGTGGTCACGGAGTAGTATGTTGAAACGGGCCTGGGCTTTCTTGCCGTCGAAATGGCGTCGGTCAAACTCCTCCAGAGTGTTGAGGTTGCGTGCTACCGAGTCCCATACATCCATTATCATCCCTCGCCTAGCTATATGGGGCCTTTCAACCGAAACCTGCGTCAGGAGAAGAAGATCTTCACGCTCAGAGAAGGTACGGCGCTACGATGGTGTGACCATTTGCCTTCGGAACGGAAAGGAATTAATTCCGCCCCGGCACCCCTGGGAGCAGTATAATTATAGACTTCGAGCAGTTTCTGTAAGAGTTTTGGGAGTTTCGCAACGAACAGACGGTGGGAAGCGGAACAGGAAAGGAAAGGAAGGACTCCTTCAAAACATTTCTATTCTGGCTTCTCGTCCACTTGAGAATTTATATTACAAAATGTATTATTCGTGAACTCTCCCAACGGGCCACTACAATAGTCTCGACAATATTGTATTAACGTAAATCACCAGTCTTTGCCCTTTTTTATCAGTAGTTTGCCCTTTTCATTTTCACATTTCACAACAATATATTATCACCAATCAATAGTCTTCGTGGGGTTTTCAACGAATCTATTGTCAAAAAGAAAATTGAGGGGAACTTTCAAAACTCAATACACTCCTTTGCTTCATTTCGTCATGCCGAGGCGCACGTCTGAGGAGATTGTGGCAGCATTACAAAGAGTGAACGATGGTGAGAAGCAAACTGAAGTCAGTGCATCGATGTCGATACCATATCGTACGCTCAAGCACTATCCCAACCTTCACCGTCGTGGCATAACGATCAACAGCAGCCGTATGGGCCCACCACCAACTCTGCCCTTAGAGTGCGAACAAAACATGGTGCTATCCCAACCTTCACCGTCGTGGCATAACGATCAACAGCAGCCGTATGGGCCCACCACCAACTCTGCCCTTAGAGTGCGAACAAAACATACCCAATTACTCGTCAAGACCTCCTACTCAAGGCCAAAGGACTCCAAGCGGATGTTCTACCAATAGAGCTATTACTCTTGTCGAAGGTCGAAGGAAGTTTATTCACCATACCAATTTAAACTTTTTGAACTAATACCCTTTAAAATATTTTAATTTGTGTGAGTGGTGATGTTATCCATTATTCAAGAATAGTATGGATTTACGAAACACAAAACCCTCAAAATATATGGAGTTACGAAACAAACTTGTTTCGTAAAGCCTAAATATGTTGATCTAGCTGTCTTAAAGTTTGAATGATTCTGGAAATATGCTACGATATTATGGTTTTACGAAA